TAAAACTAAAGGCCTCCAAATACTTCGAAAATACTTCGAAAGAACCGGTCAATCAAGCTACTCTCGGCATAAGCAAAGGAGCTTCGATAATATCAGCTCCGAACAATAAAAAGGCTTCGAAAACAATCAACCTTCGATGAAAAGGTTTCGAACACTCAACCTTTATGCGAGCCTCCCGAGGTACTCAACTATCGTCACATATAGACTCATAATCGAGGTTCCCTTTTGAGCCGTCGAAGAGTCGGACGAGCATAAAACATGCCAAGCCATAATCAAAAGTCTTTAGCCAAAATGAAGGAAAACTATAGCCATACTAGAGGTCGCATCGACCCAATTAGAGCCTAAGGGCCAATGCGTAAGAGCCTAAGGGACAGCCTAAAGAGCCTAAAAGCCAATGCATAAGAGCCTAAGGGCTAGCCTAAAGAGCCTAAGGGCCAATGCGTAAGAGCCTAAGGGCCAGCCTAAAGAGCCTAAGGGCCAATATGTTGAAAACCTAAGAGTCAATGAGCCCGAGTCAAAACTTGACTCGAGTATTGGACACCGCACGGTCAACTATTATCAATCACTCATCGAGCATGAAAATCTGAGGGGTTTGCATCATAAACTGGTTATCGACAAGCATCAAAACTTATTTCAAAAAGGCAAAGAGAAAACAAGAAATGACGAAAAGGGGAAATTCATATGTATATGGTAAAGTTTCACGAAGACGTATTTACAAGGCTCACGCCTGGAGCCCTTACACAAAAAAGGAACAAATAAAAACCTAATCTACCATCGGGGTTACTTGACTAGACGAATCTCCCTCAGAAGTTGTGCCTTCAACGGCTTGGTCTTCGACCCCAAGAACATTGACGGCCTTCTCCCCCTCGGGGAATTCACCTTCGTCTTCATCATCCTCCGAACCGCTGTCTAATCACTGGCTGAACCATCATCAGAAGAAAGCAGAATTGCCGATTCTTCCTCTAGGGCCTTCACCTTCTCGATCTCGGCGGACAAATAAATGCCCCCTGCATATACATCCTCGAGAGCCTGTCTCCAAGATCTTAATCGGGCATGTTCCATGGCTCGGGACAGTTTAAGCTCGGCCTCTTCGGGTACTTTCCTGGCTGGAGCATTTGCAGCAGCCACATCTTGTCGGTATGAAGATTTGAGCGCAACAGATAGCTCAGCAACTGATTCAGCATGGAGATCTTTGTACTTGCGGCTTTCTCCCTCGCCCCTTGAAGTTGGTCCTCAATCGAGGCTAGCTTCTCTTAAAGAGTTTTTTTATCGGAAGACGCCTCATCCACGCGCTGCGTCAGCCCAAGGATTTTGGTATCTCTGACTTTGAGCTCCTCTCGCATCAGATCATATTTTTGCTTGAGCTGAAATAGTCAAATTAAGGCATCAAAATCTCAGTTGACTGAAGCACAAAAATAAGCCCATGAAGGTCATATTACCTACTCATCAAGATCGGCCCGCTTTCGAGATATCCACTCCAAATGAACCTGAAGGTCACCTAGCTCTCCCTCCTTTTGGGCATGAAGAACCTTAAGTTCGTCCAGTTCAGAAACAAGTTTCCTAAATGTGTCCTTACAGCGAGCCAACTCAGCTTGTGACTTGGAAAAAGCTTGATTGGAGAGCTTCACGGCCTGAAAACACAGGAGAAAGGAGTCGGAAAAGCAAGAATCGAAATTCAAAATACAACGGTTAAGTCAAGATAACCTGTTGTCGAAGCTTCTCGGCTTCTTCAAAGATCAATGAGGCGTCGGGGCCTTCCTCAGCCACTTATATCATGATGATGATGTCAGGACCCAGGCATCAGGAACCGATTTTGTTAGAAAGTACTAAGGACAATCTGCGAGTCGGGTTTGAATAGACGTTCACTCAACTATTTAGCCCAAGGGCTACCCGAATTCGAGCAGATTCTCACTCGGGGACTATTTATAAAGCCTCAGGGCTATCTTTATCTCGAGTTCGAGCGAACACTCACTCGATTATTTAGCCCGAGGGCTACCCGAGTTCGAGCAGGTCCTCACTCTGGGGCTATTTATAAAGCCTCAGGGCTATCTTTCTCTTGAGTTCGAGCGAATGCTCACTCGGTTATTTAGCCCAAGGGCTACCCGAGTTCGAGTAGGTTCTCACTCGGGGACTATTTATAAAGCCTCAGAACTATCTTTCTCTTGAGTTCGAGCGAACACTCTCTCAATTATTTTAATCCCAAGGGCTACCGGAGTTCGAGCCAGCTCTCACTCAGGGACTATTAACAAAGCCTCAGGGCTATCTTCATCTCAAGTTCGAGCGAACACTCTCTCAATTATTTTAAGCCCAAGGGCTACCCGAGTTCGGGCCAGTTCTCACTCGGGGACTATGTATGAAGCCTTAGGCTATCTTTATTTTCAAGTTCAAACAAATTGTCACTCAAATCGGGGCTACCCGAGTTCGAGCAGGCTCTCACTTAAGGACTATTTGCAAAGGCCTTAGGGCTATCTTTATTTTTATGTGATCGAGCGAACGTTCATCCAACTGCTGAATCCAAAGGTTACTTGAAGTTTGAGAGAATTCTTGCTCGAGGGCCACCAACAAAGCCCAAAAGGGCTAGTTGTCTTTTGAGAATCAAGACATAGCTCTCACTCAACTCGGACTCAGAAATCCTGGTGACCTAAGTTCACATCAAATCAATTCGAGCTTAGTCCGAGGAATAGCAAAGGACTTTAAAAAGCGTCATATTGGTCAAATAAAAACCTAAGGTTATCATTATATTCCGGGACCGGCGCTCGGACCAATCGTTAGAGTCTTACACTTGGATTTTTCACAAATGAAAGAAGAATGGAGTTCAACACAAAACAGAGGCATTGAAGAGTTGAAGAATTCAAATCGTTCCTTGTTATTTCATTCCAAGGAACGTGGGACTATCTGTATACGGTCAAAATCAAGGAAGGCCGATTTCGAGACTTCTATGGAATTTTGAGCCCAGCCTCGATAGGCTTGGAGCACGGTCAGGGGTCGTCCTCGTAGCATTCGCCTAGAGGGGGTATAAAGAAGACTCATCATAGCATACCTCGAGGCAGCATGAAAATCGACGATCATCATAGAAAGGCGGAGAGATTCCCAAGGGCACGTGATCAGAACTGACATGGCCTCCAAGAATGGGACAAATCAGTACTGAGCTATTATACAGCTGTACTAATAGTCTTTTCCCATAACTATTAGACATATACTATGTTGGGATCCCCCCTCCTATATAAAGGGGACCCCTGTCATCTTGTAAAAGAATTCGGATTATTACACGACATATTAGATACAATACAACATTCTCTGTTCTTTGCTTAAACAATTGTTCTACACATTTATTGCTTATTCTTTCATTGTTCATTTATTGTTCTTCATTCATTGCTCATTATTAACCGCAAAAGGCCATCTTTGAGGCCTTCATTATCATTGATTCTCTACCACTCGTTCATTGCTATTATCCATCTAGACTTCGAGGCCCTGCTCCAGGCAACTCGAAGCCCAGCCTTGTGACCCTATTGGTTTGCATTTCTTATTTTCTTTACTTGCATTTAACATCTATTGCCCTACTAGTAGTATTAAAATAAATCACGTATTTTTAGAACCTCAATGTCAAATATAATTATAGTTACCATTTTCAAGGTAAACAAAAAACTAGTTGAAAGCCTCCTCCAAGCGTGGTGTGTGTTCCCCCACGTGAATTCTCCTTCAAAGTATGTTAGATCTCATCCAAATTAGGTTTAGGACCCCTTTTATACGAGTTGGGACCGTATAGGACTGAAATAACCTTGCCCCAGGCGAAATAGGAAAACTCCCGCAACACAGCGTCCAAGGGAGCGCTAGGCGATGGCCCTGGTGCTGAAAACAGTGAGCTTTTACGTGCAATGCCTTAGCTGCGTTAGTTTTGAGTTCTTTCTTTCTCTTTTGTTTTTGTTGTCTCCCCTGGGGGACAAAACCCAAAGGGTGTCCCCCCCCCCCCCCCC